ACCTGAATGCAGTACATATGCACTCTATATCCTCTAAAAATCTTTATGGATCTTCCTCCGTATGTAATCCAGTAAATGCTTGAGGTTTAAGTTTCATAAATTCCACCAAAGTAAACTTAATAGCCCATCTCTCATACTTCACTTGAACCAAATACTCCAACTGTTGTAAAATGGACTCGATCCACTCTTCAGAATGTGCCTCGTCTTCATTGTAAAACTCAACAAATTCACATGCCAAACTCTATAGCCCTGCTACCAAATCCTCTAGGGTGACACCTCCTTTAGTTGGATGGTTGTCCCCAACTCCCCCAAAATTGTCCCCAACTCCCATTGATTGGGATCCACATCTCTAGCATGCTTGGCAACTCTGACTCTCCCATGACTCCTAGACGAGGATGCTCGTGGTCTCTCAATAAGCTCGTCCAAGGCATCTTGCTCACCCATAGTCCTTGTGGCAGCTCTCATCTTAGGCAGAATCCAATACCTAGATGAAGCAAACACTATATTCAAAATTCCAAAATTCATTATGCCAAAAGAGGGTACCTTACTAAGGACTTGAGAGTCCGTGTAACCTCACGCTCATAACTTTTGCTTTAGTCACAAACCATGAATAAGACTTTAACCTAATCTTGAAAGTTTACAGACAAATTTAGAAAGACCTAACATACTCTATAACCTAGGCTCTAATACGAAGAACTTGTGATACACCCAAAATGGTGTTCCGACATGCTATGGGCATTATGAATTCTTAATGATATGTCGTTTGAACTTTTCTGAATCGAGTTTTTTGGGCACATTTGGATTGATTTGTGGTCATATTTATAGATGACATCTTGTTGTATTCTAAGAGCCCAGAAGAACATGCACAGCACTTGAAAATTATGCTCGACTGTGACACCCTGTACCCTTGTTTAGAACTTAATAAGACTCCATTAATGAGAAGAAGGGTCGTTTTACATAAATCTACGCGTTAGAGAATAGTAACAAGTAAAAAGAATATTTTTAAATAAAATAATATTTTTATGAATAAAATATTATTAAAATATTAATATTTTATTTATTAGTGAGATTAGTTTAAAAGAGGAGATTATATGACTAATCTAAATGGGAGAAAAGAAGAAAAGAAGAATTCGGAAGAAAAACGAGGTTAGAGGAACCCACGTGTCTTTATTAAATAGAAAACAAGCAGGTAAGTATATACTTAAATATTATGGTGACACGTTGATGGGGTGAAAATCTTATATTATATTTACACACATGTCAAGGAAGGAAATAGAAGAAAATTGAAATTTAAGAAGTGATGGGAGGACTTAATAAAAAGGATGAGAACTTAGGAGGGTTGAATAGTCAATTTACTATTTAGCTTGGTCAAGGTTTACAAAGAAAGCTTTGACTTTTGTTTTTCTTTTTCTCTTTCTCTATGGCCGGCCACTCATGTGAGAGCTTGTCGAAATTTGATACAAAGAAAGAAAGGAAAGGATGGGAGAAGGGAAAAAAAGAGGAAAGAGACAAGAAATTGTCTCATTTGTTGACTAAATAAAGAGCTTTGAATTTTCTCTTGGCTTTTCTTTCCATTTCATTCTGCATAGCTGGCCAAATGGTACAACTTTTGTTATTTTTTGACTTCTTATCCTATTAAGATATTAGAACCTTCATCCTTCATTCTTTAATGCATTTTTTTTTCTTTCTTTACTTTTCACTGTCACTTTTCTTCCTTGTGCATTTTCTCTTCCAATCGGGGCTTTCCTCCATAGACAACTGTGCATCAAGTATTTCCTCCCCTATTCTTCCATGCTTCTTTCTTTTTTCCTTCCTCCTTATGAATTGTCTTCCCTTTTTCCTCCCCCATAACCGAACCTAAGAAGGATTTGGTGATTTGGCTTAAAATTCCAAGGTAAGGAAAGTGGAAATTGTTAGTTTGCTTGAAAGCCTGCTTTATAAATTGATTTTAATGTGTAATTATGCTTGTGGCAGTAGAGGTAATCTTAGATGTGAAGACGTTGTGAATTATATTTGAGAAATTCAAACATGAACCGAGACATAAGCATGCTAGGTGATTATATTGTGTTATATGAGTTTGGTTGGTTAAAGTATATGGATTGTGTAATAAATGTTGTGGGGCATGTTGATAAAAATATATGAGATTTAGTTAAGGATTGTTGGTTGATATGCTATCATTTATGAGTGTAATTAAATGTATTGGGTTTGAATGGTTGCTAGGAAATATATAGTAAGTAACATCGTCGAGGTGGCGTGTTGGAAGAAGTAACAAGAGATTGGCAAGTGGAATTATCTAGATACGCACTTGACTTAATAGGGATGTAGTTCTCGCTATTGTAAGGTGAGTAGGGGGTATTCATTTTAAAATATTCTATGATTATGTATATATATATATATGTGTGAGGATTTATTTTAATTGAAAAATTATGGAAAGCATGAGTTGGTAGAAATGTTAGGAAATTATGGATGTTATGACTTTGAAAATGGTTTTGAAAATCTATAAGCTATATAAATATACATAAAGGTTCTTGAAATTGGGAAACAAGTTTTCCTTTACGATTTATGTCAAGTATGTGCCTTATAGGTTGTGTGATATGCATTCACGATCGAAACCTATAATAACCATGCTAAATGATCTTTCAATCTCATGTAACAAGTTATATTTTAAAGTCTTACATGGGATTTTATCAAGTACTACGTGAACATTTTGATAATGATTGTTGAAATGAATTTTGAGGACTCAACTATATTTTAAAATGGTTTTATTAAACTGGGAGATTTGAGAGTAGGCTGGTTGTCACTCCGATTAAGTGTGACCTTTGTGCACAAGTGAGCTCTAGCTAGAGAATCTTTGGGTCACCGACGGGCTGTTAGACATGGCTGGGGTCAGGGTTTTTGATTTTACGTGGCTAGGCCACAAGTTGTTATACGCAGTTGCTACCCCTTAATTTTCTCTGATGTCGGCCAACAACTGCCATTGCATGTGAGATCCGGTGGAGCGGAACTCCCAGATGTTATTATGTGGAAGCGGGTCCATGTGTTTTTTATTGCTATACCTACTCGAGAGTGATATCTCTTTGGGTTTTTCACGAAGTTATTTTCGCATGGTGAAAAATAATAGTTTTTCTGCTGCTCCTTTGCTTATATGATGAAATTTGATTTAATTCTTTGTGTATGAGGTGAATTATGAAATTGCATGTAAGCTTTGTAAAATGTTAGATTTTATGGGAGCATGCATGATGACATTTAATTACTTTAAACCTGATGTTAAGTTATTTCGATGGTTGGAATCTTTCCATGACTTGGGTTGATATTTGATTTAAATGATTATTTAGCATAAATTTATTTATTTTTATATACAGCACAAACCTCCCTTTTTGGGTAAATTGTTTCATATATTCTTACATTTTTAATATTCAAATCTTTTGCCTTTAGTTTGTTTCCCATCTATGCCTTACTCACGGAGTTGATGATCACTGAGTCTGTGAGACTCACCCCTCCTTATTTTCTTTTACAGATAAGTAATCAGTTCTAATGCTTTGTTCAGTATCTCGAGGCTCGCTAAAACCTAGGTAATGTCATCTCTAAACTTCCACTCAGAGTCGCTCCACCGCCTAGAGGTCGGTTTATGTCAAGTAGTCAGGCTTGTAATGAATAATAGTATTGGAAATGTACTGACTAGAGCTTAAGGTTATGTAATGACTACTACATATTATGTTGAAATCGTATGGAATTATCAAACCTGGTTATTGGTTTCTAGATGCCACATTTTAAATATTGTGATTATTTGGTTTAAATGAGATATGGCATTAAAATTGTAATTTGAGTTTAAATTGCCTGGAGGTTTAACTAAGGCTTGTTTGGGATTTGGTGGGTTCACTCGCAAGTCTCGAACGTCGGTAGCTATCGAGGGAAGAGGTCGTTACAGACTTCATATTAGAGCCCTAGGTTTAGTTGAGTCTTAAGAACTCTTGTGTTTGTCAGCGGAGTTGTCGGAGTTATGTAGAGTTTTGTTTATGGCTTGTGGCCGCAGCACAAGTCATAGACAGGAGGCCATATAAACTCCTATTCGTAGCAGCCTACCTTTTTACTAACATCATATAAAGGTTATAAGTAGTGCCATCGTCCAGGTTCGAGATGCCACATGAGACACGAGCCATTGTTGGAATGATTGTAAAGCAAAATGCTCATAATGAAAGGTTAATATAATGACATATCCCTTCGATTAAAGATGAAGGAAAGTGGGGTTGGATAGCACACCCCGTACCCCTGTTTAGAAGTTAATAAGACTTCATTAATGAGAAGAAGGGTCGTTCGACATAAATCTAAGCGTTAGAGAACAGTAACAAGTAAAAAGAGTATTTTTTAATAAAATAATATTTTTATGAATAAAATATTATTAAAAAATTAATATTTTATTTATTAGTGAGATTAGTTTAAAATAGGAGATTATATGACTAATCTAAGTAGGGGAAAAGAAGAAAAGAAGAATTCGGAAGAAAAACGAGGTTAAAGGAACCCACGTGTCTTTATTAAATAGAAAACAAACGGGTAAGTATATATTGAAATATTATGGTGACACATTGATGGGGTGCAAACCTTATATTATATTTATACACATATCAAGGAAGGGCATAGAAGAAAATTAGAATTTCAGAAGTGATGGAAGGACTTAATAAAAAAGATGAGAACTTAGGAGGGTTAAATAGTCAATTTATTATTTAGCTTGGTCAAGGCTTACAAAGAAAGCTTTTACTTTTGTTTTTCTTTTTCTCTCTCTCTATGGCCGGCCACCCATGTGAAAGCTTATGAAAATTTGGTACAAAGAAAGAAAGGAAAGGATGGGAGAAGGAAAAAAAAGAGGAAAGAGACAAGAAAGTTTCCCATTTGTTGACAAAATAAACAGCTTTGAATTTTCTCTTGACTTTTCTTTCCATTTCATTCTACATAGCCGGCCAAATGGAACAAATTTTGTTATTTTTTTCTTCTTATCCTATTAAGATACTAGAACCTTCATCCTTCATTCTTTAATGCAATTTTTTTTCTTTCTTTACTTTCCACCATCACTTTTCTTCCTTGTTCATTTTTTTCTTCCAACCATGGCTTTCCTCCATAGACAACCATGCATCAAGTCTTTCCTCCCCTCTTCTTCCATGCTTCTTTCTTTTCTCCTTCCTCCTCATGAATTGTCTTCCCTTTTCCCTCCCCCATAACCGAACCTAAGAAGGATTTCGTGATTTGGCTTAAAATTCCAAGGTAAGGAAGGTGGAAATTGTTAGTTTGCTTGAAAGCATGCTTTGTAAATTGATTTTAATGTGTAATTATGCTTGTGGCAGTAGAGGTAATCTTAGATATGAAGACGTTGTGAATTATATTTGAGAAATTCAAACATGAACCGAGAGATAAGCATGCTAGGTGATTATATTATGTTGTATGAGTTTGGTTGGTTAAAGTATGTGGATTGTGTAATAAATGTTGTGAGGGATGTTGATAAAAATTTATGAGATTAGTTAAGGATTGTTTGGTTGATATGCTGCCCATTTATGAGGGTAATTAGATGTATTGGGTTGAATAGTTGCTAGGAAAAATAATAACGTCGTCGACGCGGCGTGTTGGAGGAAGTAACAAGAGATTGGCAAGTAGAATTAGCTAGACACACATTTGAATTAATAGCAATGTAGTGTCCCGCTATTGTAAAGTGAGTAGAGAGTATCCATTTTAAAATTTCCTATGATTATGTATATATATATATATGTGTGTGGATTTATTTTTAATGAAAAATTGTGGAAAGCATGAGTTGGTAGAAATGTTAGGAAATTGTGGATGTTATGACTTTGAAAATGGTTTTGAAAATCTATAAGCTATATACATATATAAATATACATAAAGGTTCTTGAAATTGGAAAACAAGTTTTCCTTTATGATTTATGTCAAGTATGTGCCTTATAGTTTATGTGATATGCATCCACGATTGAAACCTATACTCACCAAGCTAAATGATCTTTCAATCTCATGTAACAAGTTATATTTTAAAGTCTTATATGGGATTTTATCAAGTACTACGTGAACATTTTGATAATGATTTTTGAAATGAATTTTGAGGACCCAACTATATTTTTAAATGGTTTTATTAAACCAGGAGATTTGAGAGTAGGCTAGTTGTCACCCCGGTTAAGTGTGACCCTTGTGCACAAGTGAGCTCTAGCTAGAGAATCTTATTTTCTTTTGCAGATAAGTAATCAGTTCTAGTGCTTTGTTCAGCATCTCAAGGCTCGCTACAACCTAGGTAATGGCATCTCTAGACTTCCACTCAAAGTCACTCTACTACCTAGAGGTCAGTTTGTGTCAAGTAGTCAGGCTTGTAATGAATAATAATACTGAAAATGTACTGACTAGAGCTTAAGGTTATGTAATGACTACTACATATTATGTTGAAATTGTATGGAATTATCAATCCTGGTTGTTAGTTTCTAGATGCCACGTTTTAAATATTGTGATTATTTGGTTTAAATGAACTATGGTGTTAAAATTGTAATTTGAGTTATATTGCCTGGAGGTTTAACTAAGGCTTGTTTAGGATTTGGCAGGTTCACTCGCAAGTCTCAAACGTTGGTAGCGATCGGGGGAAGAGGTCATTACATAGACGCTTAGAGAGCATCAATTATATCATACGTTTAAGAAGTGTGAGTTTTGACAAAATAAAGCTAGTTTATTAAGACACGTTGTGACTAAGCAAAAGGTGCAAGTCAATTTTACAAAGATAGAAGATATGGGTCAACGGTTGTAATGGAAATTAAAAGTTTTCTGGCTTTAGCCAGGTATTACAGATGTTTTGTCAAGGCTTCTCCAAGATCTCATCCCCTCTGATAGCATTAACTAAAAAAGGAGTTAAATTCAATTGGACTGATGCTTGCCAAGTGCGTTTTAGAGACTTAAAGCTTGTCTCACTTTTATGCTAGTATTAAGTCTACCATGTGGATCTAAAGGCTCTACCGTGTACTATAATGCGTCACGAATATGATTGGGCTACGTGTTGATGCAAAATGAGAGAGTTATAGCATATGTCTCCTGCCAACTTAAGAAAGATGAATAGAACTATCCCATGCACCATCTAAATATGGCAGTTGTCCGTTAAAATTTCACTATGCAAGTATACGTATCGAATAGACAGTATATTAGCAAGCAGAGTGTTGATCCTACAAAGAATTGATCTAAAATTTTACTAACTACTAAAATTAGAACAAATTAATCTTATCCAAACACTCAAAATTAATTGATTAACTACAACTAATTAACTAAAATTTAAATTAACAGGAAAAATTAAAATAATAATAACTTGAGTAAATATCAAATCAAACAAAGCTAAGATTACAATATCCCTCATACTTCATCTAAATCTTACCTTTCTTCCTTAACTTTTTCAATGGTTTGAATTGCTAACCTAGAGTCCTAAATTATTTATAAGGGTCTCTTGACTCATCTTATAAAAATATCTATTTTAACCCAAATATTATATCCCTATGTGAATTGAAATTAAAATAGATACATTAAGTTCAAGCTCTAATCTGGCTACATATGGCCTATAGATATATCCCTATCGTATACGCAAATCAAGTAATATGATCATAGCTATCCTAATTTTAGTCTATACTAAACTCCCTTTTCCAAGTTTGTTTAGGTTCCTAAATCAATATAACTGGTGGCCAAGCAATTAAAAGCATTACAAACAAATTGGAATAAACAATTCAAATTCCATTAAAAATAAGCAAGAAAGAGATTGAAAATTTAGACTACATGTGAGTTTAATTGCAATCCTAGAAAAATAAATTAGCTCATAATATCTAATAAAGACAATACCCAAAAATATTTAGCCATGAATCCAAGTCAAAGAAAATAAGAAAAACACAAAAGGAAGAGAGAAACCTTATAGTTAGAGCTTTGTGATGTTGATTCTCCTTCCAATTCTCTTGTTTTGTTACTTTGTTCTTAGCTTCAAATCTCCAGAATAGTTGCTTGCTGCCTTCTTTCTAAAATCTTTTTAAAAAGTCACTTAAATATACTCCAAATAACCTAATTTCCAAAATCTCGTCAACTTTTTTTATTTTTGAAAAATTGCCCAAGGCTACAACGCTACTTGTCCAGCGTTGTAACCCTAAGCTCTCTGGAAATTAGCATGTGTGCTTCCTTTCATAAACGTAGTAGCCTTGTTCTCTTAGCACTATGGCAGTCTATCAATTTCAAATGTGAGTTTCACTTTGATATGTTCCAAACTAGGCAAAGTGGCAGACATATAAGTTTTAACCCTTGTTCTTAACTTTTCAAAGGATCAAGAATCAAGTCCATTGGACTTCTGGATTGAAAGATATGCTCCAAATATGGTGTCATATATAGTCCACACGTACTGCTGCAGTGCTCCAACTTTGACAAATATTTTATCCATGATACATTCAGAATTGGGTGAATTGGAAAACATAACCATTGTAGCCCTTATTCTTGAATTCTAGTGGTCAAAGAATCACCTCATTTAGAGTTTTGTAGAGAGAGATATAGTCAAAATACCAAAACATATATGAATGAAGCCATCACCATACTTGCACTGATTTTCATCAAATAAGCCTTTTTCACCAATTTCCTATAAAAGCCATAAGAGAAATTAGCAATAACTACTCTTAAAGTAATTTAAAACAAAACAACATAAAATTTAACTAAAATAACTTAAATTAATCACTTAACAAGTAATCAAACTTAAATTAGAAAAATACCTAAAATGTTAAAATTCGAATCTAAAATCTCAAAGATCTAGCTACTTAAGCCCCCAAAATGTGTCAAAATAACTTTATATAATAGAGTTATCAGCAATGATCATGTTTGCCTTAAAACTTTTGACACACTATCTATATACTGACAACAAGAGCTAGAAATATATATTTCAGCGGAGAGATTTGAATTTAAGACAGCATAGGTGGTTAAAATTACTGAAAGATTATGACTACACCATACTCTACCATCCTGACAAGGTGAATGTAATGGCAAATGCCTTGAGCTTGAAATCAATATGTAGTTTAGCACATGTGACAGTGGCAAGGAGATCGTTGATGTAGAGTTTGTATGATTTGGGCAATCTAGGGATACACTTTATGGTTAATAATTCAAATGCTTTATTAGCTCACTTTAGAGTCAGACCAATGATTTTGGATCAGATTAGAAATGCTCAGAATTGAGTTGAAGTTTTGATAAAAATTGTTGGAGATAAGATAAAAAATAAAGCTTAAGACTTTGTTATTGGCACTAATTATTTACTTTGGTATCGATCATGAGTTAACGTGCTAAATTTGGGTGGTTTAAGTGATGAGATATTAAAAAAGGCTCATGTCATAGCCTACGCCATACACTTAGGAGCCATTACAATGTATCTGATTTAAAGTCTGTTTAGTGGTGGCTAGGGTTAAAAAGAGACATAACTGAGGATGTCTACAAGTGTATGGCTTCTCAAGAAGTGAAAGTCGAACATCAATAGCCTTTAGAGTTTCTATAATTGTTACTCGTACCCGAGTGGAAATGGGAACATGTAGCAATGAACTTTGTAGTGGGTTTATCTCAAGCTAGGGAAGGCTACAATGCCATTTGGGTGATAATTGATTGGCTAACTAGATCAACTCATTTTTTACAGGTCAAGATAAAATTATGAGTAACTTGCTACGCTTGAATTTATAATTGATGAGATTGTATGGCTACATGGTGTTCTAGTAATAATAGCGTCTGATAGAGAACCGTAGTTTACTAATTAGTTTTGAAAGAGGTTGCATGAAGCCTTAGGGACAAGATTAGATTTTAGTATGGCCTTTTGTCCACAATTGAAAAGTTAATCTGAGGCCACAATTCAAATGCTCAAGGATATGTTAAGAGTAATTATGCTTTACTTTGGAGTCTCTTGAAATTATTATTTGCCTTTGGTCGAGTTTGTGTATAACAATAGCTATCAGACCACCATTGAAGTGACACTATATGAAGCTTTATATGGCCAAAGATGTAGGTTACTTATTAGATGACTTAAAGTTGGTGAAAGGAAACTCTTAAGGCTAGAGATGGTTCAAGAAGCTAAGAATGTTGTTCACATAATTCAAGAAAAAATGTTATCGGCCCAAAGTTGATACAAATCATATGCCGATAATCAGTGAAAGCCTTTGGAATTTGGAATCAGAGACTATGTGTTGTTAAAGGTTTCATGAATTAAAAGAGTTAAGAGATTCACCAAGAGAGGGAAATTGAACCATTAATGTATCAAATCCTTTAAGGTTTTGGAACGTGTTCATGCGGTTGCTTACCACTTGGCACTATCGCCAAATTTGTCCAATGTTCATCCAATTTTCCATGTATTTATGCTTAGGAAGTATGTTCCCGATCCTTTGTATGTGAGTAAATATGATGAAGTCTAATTGCAAGATGGACCTACTTATGAGGAGTAGCCCATAGCCATACTAGATCGACCAGTAAAACGGCTTCGCTCCAAGGACATTGTCTTACTGAAGGTGTTATGGGAAAGCCATTTGATTGAGGAAGAAACATAGGACCTTAAAGAGGAAACACCAGTGAAATATCCTTATCTCTTCGAAGCTTAAAAATATGACTTAACTTGTGGTGTTTGAATCAAATTCGGGGATGAATTTTTATAAAGAAGGAAGGATGTAACTCCTCTAATTTTCATTATGGATTATGAGTAATGTTGGCTAGGTTATTTGGTAGGTTAATTTGAATCTTGATGTATACATTTGTGGACTTATGAAAATGACTATACTCATAGAAGTTTACTTAGAATTTTGGCATATTTGAGGACATTTGATGTATTGATTGTATGCTTGCAATATGAGGTAATGAATTACGATACTTAGCCAAATTGTTAAAGAAATGGTTTGAATATAGGAAGTGAAGTTATGAGTTTTATGGTCACATTGAAGTGTAGTTTAAGTAGGAAGTGGTTATGGAGTTTGGAATTTGGACTTAGGAAGTTTAAAGACTTGAAAAATGCAATCTGGAGAAAATGTATTGATACATTCAATTATGTATAGATACATTCTTGGTAAGAGAATACAAAGAGATATTCTATGAATTTTCTACCAATAAATTCAAGAATGTATCGATAGAGTTAAATTGGGGAGCATTTTGTGTGATTTTTATCGATACATTGTCTAAATGTATCAATAGATTTAAAAAAGGGACCATTCTGTGTAATTTCTATCAATACATTGTCCAAATGTATCAATAAATTTGAACTATAAGACATTCTATGAAGAATGTATTAATAGATTTCCCTAATCTAATGATAGATTTCCCTAATCTAATGATAGATTTCAAGTAGAAAGCATTTTGTTTGATTTGTATCCATACATTGCTTCATGTATCTATAGATTTAAAGGTAATCTATGAAAATGTATCGATACATGCATGTAAATTTGCAAAAAAAAAAAAAAAGCTTTGTCTAGTTCGCCTATTTGAAAAACCAAAGAAAATATAACCAATCTCTACTGCCCTTTAAACCCCACATCCCCCATTGGATCTTAGCACTCATTTGAGGCACTTTAGAGCGTGGGGAAACCACATTGGAGGAAAGATTAAACTTTTTCCCTATTGGTTTTCGATTTAAACGATTGAAAATGTGGAATTTACGTTGTTCTAACTTTGGTGTTGTATTTCTTTGAGTTTGCTAGAAATTTGAAGTTGTGAATGAGTAATCTGGCACTAAAGGTAGATGTTTAAAGTACTGCAATTATAAAATCTAAAACTAGAATTTGTTAAGATGAATATTTCGAAGTTGAATCAGTTGTAAGTGCTGGAATTTATT